GAGAGAGAGGGAGGGAGGGAGGAGGGAGGAGAGAGGGAGAGAGGGATACAGAGAGACAGAGACAGAGAAGAAGAAGAGAGGGGAAGAGATGGAGTGAGGGGAGGGAAGGAGGGAGGGAGGGAGGAGAGAGGGAGAGAGATGAGGTAGGAGGGAGAGAAAGAGTAAGAGAGAGGGGGGGAGGAGGGGGAGAGAGGGGAAAGGAAGAGGGAGGGAGGGAAGGAGGGAAGGAAGGGAGGAGGTGGGAGGGAGAGAGGGAGAGGATGATATTGATCAAGACAGGATCAGGTATTACAGTTAGATCTCTACTGCACTTGGTAGGTACTTTATTTCTGTTTTGTTTTGACAGGGCTAACTTTTCAAATTAAATCTCTTTATTGAATTTTCATCCTTGAATAGTTCCTGAAGATGCTGCCTTGGCAAAATAAGAAAGTAGAAAAAGTAAATAAAACAAGAACTGTTACAGAGCACTGTTTGGGAAAGCAGAGCCTGGGATGATGTTGTATCTTTACCAAATGCCATGGTTTGGGGGAGCAGAGGCATGGAGTCAGGTGTTGGAAGGGGTGCAGAGCGGCGGTGGTCCTGTCATGCTTTAGAGTATGGGTTATATACCTTGGGCACCACAAGATAGAAAGCAGCATCATCCCCAGAGCTCGGAAGTGAGAGAAATCTGGGATGCTCTCACCAAGAGCTTTCTAAACAAAGTTTGTCATCAGGGAGAGCAGACCCTAAAGCTCTTTTATTAGCTTTTGGCTTCAGGCTTTGCTTCCTCATTGTGTTCCACAGACTGGCTTTGCCCTGCTGTGGGAAAGCTTGCTAGGAATGCAGAATCTTGCACTGCCTGCTGCACCACAATTCACATTCGAACAAGACCCAAGTGCTCTGACGTTTTCACCCAGCCTGTAAGGAAGGTGAGACAGCCAGCGGGTAACCATGCCAACCGCTTAGCTATGTTTCCACTCATTCAACATGCAGTTGGTAAGTGCCTGGTAAAGAAGACTGAATAGAGAAGTATAGCCCTGCCCCTCACGTAAGCATGGTCAGATGAAAGGAAACGAAAGTGAAGCCCTATTACATTGGAAGATTAAGAAAGGTGTCTCAGACACACGTGCTTAGTGACCCAAGGGCCACCGTCCACAGTGTTTAATTCCCTTCCACTGATCACAGCTAGGGCAAGTAAAGAGTGTCAGAGGCACAGGAAGCAGAAAGTACGAGGTCCCTGAGGCAGGACACCAGGACGCAAAGCCCAACAGGCTCTGAGAACTGACAGCAAAGCCGAAGGCCTGTAGGCAGGCCGCGAGGAGCAGACAGTGGAGATGGGGCTGACGCAGCAAGCGTGCTCTGCACCTCCAGGCCAGAGCGGAGTCAGCCGGGGCTTTATCCGAAGGTGTGTTGATCGCTGGCTGCCTCCGGGGAAGCCCACTGTCTCTGCTGTATGCTAAGATTGGACCTTGAAGTCCAGGCGAGGTAACCTGCCGCAGGGGATGGAGCAGAGATGGGGCAGAGACGCTACACTGCGGAGCTCACTCTGCCAGGCGCGCTGTGGCCACTCACACTCAATGGCCCTCCCTGTGCGTGGCGCCGTCAGCCCGGACCGTGACCTGTGCTTCCGCGACTGTGCCAAAGAGTACATTCATATCCCCGAAGGTGGAGTGAAACCTCTAGGGACGGAGACTCCCACGCGAGAGTCCTGAAAGACATGTGGTTCCTGAGGAACGGGGCTATGCAGGTGACCTGGTCAGCTTGGGCTCGGCGCTGACAGCAGGCAGAAGAGCTAAGGCTATGTGGGCGGGGACCCCGGGCACGGACAGGGAGCGTGCCCCGAATTTGTCCGTCACTCTGTGGGTCGGTGCCAGGCAACCTGCAGCAGCCTCGCTGCCCTGGGGTCCGTGGGGGTCGTCTGCGGCCTCTTCTCCCCCTACACCCACCCCCTCTATCTATGCACACTGCGCTCGCTGGGCCTACTGCCACTTCAGCACTTCAGAGCTCTCCTCAGGACCGAGGAGGGTGAGGAGGAAAATGTGCACTGTCGTTCAAAGGTGTGACAGGTCAGGCACTGCGTGGCAGGTTTATATGCGTTGGTCTGTCTAAGCGTCACCTGAAAAGACTGAGAAAAAGACATTGCCGTCGTGGTCGTCTTTGCATTTGCCGTATACTTTAGGCAGCCTGTTGCGTAACTGTCCGTGCTTTGCTACTCTCATCTATAGAATGGGAGTAACAACCAACGAAGATGTCTGAAGAGTAACTAACAAAGTACAGGAAAGTCCTAGCACGGTTCCTGCTACAGGGCAACTGCTAAAGCACTTACTGCTGCAGCACAACTGGTAGATGAGATGTGAGCAAATGAAGAGCCAATATTATTGTTTTTAGATTTATTTTACTTTTTAGGGAAGGGTTTACAGTGTGTTCAGGTTCTCACTACTAGATCAGTCTCGTAGTGATCCGCCTGTTTACAGCCTGTCAAGAGCTCGGATTACAGGTGCATGCCACCATGCCCGTCTCCATTGCAGTCTCAGCCTGACCTGGGGGCCGGGTCAGCACAGCAGGCCTGGGGATCGAACCCCTGGCCCCTGTGACTGCTTGCAGGCGAAGAGCTAATATTATATTATTTAGCTTACAGACAAAATAAACCGAATCATAAAAGGTTAGGTGGTTCCACAATTAGTAAATTTTTTTTGAGACATTCATCCATGTATTTGAGTCGGAGAGGTGTACCCCACTTCCTCTGACACCAGGGACCTGAAGCCCAGCCTCCCCGTGGGTGTTCACTGTAGCACACCCAGCCAGGGCAAGGAAGAACACCAAAAGGACAAGTAGCTGTCTGGAAAGCCCGCCCTCTCCTCAGCCTATGGAAAGGACACAAAGGACGATTTCTTTCTTCCTGTTCTATGCAAGTATTTTATGAGTCTCTAAAGAAGACAGTGAGATACTGGATGACATCTGATGGATGGATACTGAAAAACAAAATCTAAAGTGAACACAGGAGCACCAATAACAAAACCCTGTAGAAATCAGGAATGTATACATTTAATTTTAACTCAAAGCTACCTTGATTAGATAAGAGGATTTTGCTAGCATTCTCATTATCCAAATCTGAATAAACCTGGAATAAGTTATGTGGCTAATCCTCAATTACTGGGGGCAAAACATAGCCTTATTCCCCAGAGACGTGGACCCTTGCCAGCATGGTCACTCTGACTTGGTTCACGGCAGGCAGAGAAAGCCATCCTTACTTATGAGCAGCGGGCGCAAGCGTCTGTACTTACGGCCATCCAGAGTTCTGGCCTCGAGATGCACGAGGTCTGGCTCCTTGTTCGAGCCCATCACAGACCTGAAAAATGAAGAAACATAAAAAGGAACGCCCACATTAATAAGTTCGCATGTGTATCTGTGGAGCCCACAGACGATTAATCTCCATAGATGTCTAAAGCCTCAAGCCTTGGAACATATCCGCTTTATTTATGGACATAGTCTGAGAGCAAAATTTCCACTTCAAAAAAAAGCCATAATGAAACGTGCATTTGATGTAGGCCAGGCCGAACTCTGGCAAGAGTACCGAGTGTTATGAGCCTGGACTTGTAAGTAATTGAACACAGGGCCTACATGTGCCCCCACAGTAACCCAGGGACAGCACATTAAACTTTCAAAATTTGTCAGGCAGATCCCAGACATGTTCCTTTAGCTGCCTGACTTGAAAAGCAGTTAACAGAGTGAACTTATCTAGTTAATGGTTTTTCCATTTTTCACTTTCAGGAACACCCACTAGTGCCCTACCAGGCAAGTGATGGCCCCCAGAATGCAGCGTCTGCATTGTCGAACCCATGTTGAACCTGTGTGCCCCCAAAAGGTGAGTGACCTCGCTTGCTCCACTACAGGGGCCTGAAGCCATCCAGGTACATAAAATAATAGCCTCGTTAAAGGTTCTTGGAGGCGCAGACCAGGTCCTGTAAGTTTTCAGTGAGGCACATGGAAGAGAAAATGATGATTCTGTTAAATAATATGGGCAATAATGCTTAGTCTCTAGAAAATTCATACAGGCAGACTAACGAAGGTAGGGCTCTCTGTCTTAAAAGAAAAGGCCAGAATTTTCAGAACTTTGATTGGTTCCATTTCTGTATGGAGAAGAGTCAGATGGGCCAAACGGTCCCTCCGTCTGGCCCCAGCTACCATGCCCAGACCTTCGCTCTGAGTAGGCAATGAAGATCTCACAAATGCACATTCCCTTCAGGACTTCGTGTGGTGCCAGAGCCCTGGACAGCAGACCCCACCACACATCAGCTGCCTCCTCTGTCCAGCAGCACACACAGAGTCACTGCTTGCCACTGCTTGCCACCGTTTGCACCCCACTGGGAGGCACGGCACACTTCTGTCTAGGGCTAGAGAACTCCTGGCTCTAGCTCAGCCATGGACTCCTGGATTCTAATTTAAGGCACAGCTGACAAGCTACTCCTTCTGCAAAATACATCGCAGTACAACAGAGAAAGCCTTTCTTCCCAACAGCAAGTATTTATTTTGAAATAAATCTTGTAAGATACGTGTCATGGTTTATTATACACCAGTAGTGTTGTGGTTTTCCAAATGTGAAAGCAACTCCTTCCTCCAACATTCAAATGCACACACACACACACACACACACACACCCCTCAAATGCAGCTACCAGTGACTTTGTTTTGAACAGCTGATGTTCATATTTATAGTTGTGAGATTGAGAAGTGAAATGTGGAACTAAATAAGAAAGGAACTAGAAAAATCAGTGAAGGAATGGAAGGAGAAAGGGAGACAGAAAGACTTGAAGGAGAGAGAAAGGGCATAGAGGTTTGGGAATTTGTTGAAATTAGCAAATCAGTCATTGTCCTTGGATACTCTCGGAGCTCTTCCTATTTGAATTCATTTCCCACCTCAAAGAACCTTAGGCCTGACCAACTTAATCCCTCTTTGTCTTTACAGAAGGGGCCTCCGTAAGGTCTGACTATCGCTCTGTGTACAGCTTGCTCTCACTGATACATGGCCTGAAATTCAGGGTCTAGGCTCCAAATATCAAGCCACACTTTGTTTTGCTCCAAGGACGTAAGTGTCTCCACACCAGCGTGGTATAAGTTCCCCCAAGCGCAAGGCACACATGACATGCTTTTGAACGTCCACACCACTGGCGTTCACCTGGGCCTGGGCAGACGGTGACTCACAGCGTTCAGTCCAGCACTTCAGCGCTTCAGCACCTGCTGCCCCCCAGGCGGAGTTCCGAGTCTCCCCCAGAACCTCTGGTCGCATGCGTGTAGGTCACCCTCCGGACAAGGTCACCAGTCAGGGGCATGAACAGAGAAAAGCAGCTGGCTGGCAGCCCTCCAACCAGGAAGCCCAGAACTAAACATTTGTTTCTGCAAAACAGTCGTAGGCGGTTTCACGAGGGACATTGTTGTCTTCATCTGGTGCGCTGCGGTTTCTCCTTCAGGAACTATCAGCCTCTATTCCCTGGAAAAATCTGGCACCCAGTAGCATAAAGCAAAATGTTAGCAGGCCTTGCTGTCTCTTTGACTCGAGGATGGTGTCCGCAGGGGACAAAAGCCCTTCCCTGGGCCCTTGGTATCTTTCCATGTGTTCCTGGATCCGGGGCTGGAAGCACAGAGACGTCTCTAGTTCTCCAAGTCATCTCCCTGGGCATGAGCTGTTATTTTACCTAAGATCCTTTTCCCTTATCAACTCAGGAAAAAGACCTAAGAACAAAATAGTTCTTCACTTTCACAAGGCCTGCTGTGGTTAGCTAACCTCTTACCCTGTAGCAGAAAGTGCGCCCTCCCAGCCAGTGTGCTTCAGCTTCTTAGGCGCCCAGGTCGTGAGTGATGCCTGTTCCAGGGCCAGTGGCTCCTGTCTCTGAGAAACACCTGGTCTCTGTGATGCACATTGTGTAAACCAGTCCGCAACTAACAAGTGGTTGTGCTCTGTACTCCCTACTGGCTTATCTGAGCCCTAGGCCAGCAGACATCGGGCCCTGACCCTTTGGGAATGACCCTGACAATTGCCTATCGATGTAAATAAATACGCCTCCAAATCCCGGCTGTCATTTCAGTGTTCCCACTTGCCTCGGCATCTGCTACTCTAGCCGACAAGACTGACCATGCTGACCGCTTGGTTACTGTTCATGGCTCTCCTGGAAGGAACTCTCCAGGTCCTGATGGGAAGTCTCACTCTCCAGAGTTTTTGAGTCTCCTTGGAGGTCTGGAAGAGGCTTTCTGCCTCCCCACTGGAGCGCTTACGTCAGACCCCAAGTGGAAGAGGACACTGTCTGTCTGCCTAGCTGCCTGTCTGATCCTGGTAAGACCCCCAGGAGTAACCCAGTTAGTGTACCAGTCCTGATCAGCTCAAGCAGAAGAAGAGCTTCACCAACTCTTCTTAGTTCAGGCAACCCTCAAGGGAAGGGGAAGCACTGATCACAGAGGCTGACTGGATCCTCACTTGGGCCTTCGCCTGTGCTTCCAAGTCAGTCAACAGAGGGGCATAACAGAGGCCTCGCACCCTCCTTAACTAAGTGATGCCTCAGTTTCCATGAGGTGCAGGGAGAGGTAGGCATCCCAGTAGACTCCCTCTGAGGGGCACCCACCCTTTGTCTGTTGGGTCATCCTTCAAGGGTGCACAACACACACTTAGGGAGATAGAATGGGAACTAATTAGTTAAAACCTGTAGTCTCCGGCTGCAGGAAAAAGGGCTCTTGGGAAGTTAAAATTGAAACTAAGCCACTTGCTGTATTTCAAATAAATAAATAAAATAAATAAATAAATATA